TGGAGAGATACAAGGCTCGCCTAGTAGCTAAAGGCTTAACTCAAACATATGGAGTGGACTACTCTGAGACCTTTTCTCCAGTGGTGAAGCTAAATACAGTTCGAGTACTCTTATCTATTGCAGCTAATCTTGACTGGCCACTAAATCAGCTGGATGTGAAGAATGCCTTTTTAAATGGAGACTTGGAGGAAGAAGTATATATGGAGCCTCCACCTGGTTTCACTGAGAAGTTTGGAACTAAGGTATGCAAGCTAAATAAGTCTCTATATGGACTTAAACAGTCTCCCAGAGACTGGTTTTAAAGATTCACAAGGTTCGTTAAAAGTCAAGGATATAGTCAAGGACAATCTGATCATACTCTTTTCACAAAGAGATCCACCAAAGACAAGGTTTCGGTTCTGATTGTCTACGTTGATGACATAATCTTGACCGGAGATGATATTGAAGAGATGAGCAGACTGAAGCAGAGCTTAGCTAAGGAATTCGATATTAAAGACTTGGGCCAGCTACTTTCTTGGAATGGAAGTGGCAAGATCAAAAAAGGGCATTGTGGTTTCGCAACRAAAGTATATTCTAGATCTCTTGAAAGAAACTAGAATGAGTGGTTGCAAACCTTCAGACACTCCGATAGAAGTTTATGCTAAGCTTGAAGAAGTTAAAGATGGGGTTCCAGTAGATACGGGTAGATACCAAAGGCTGGTTGGAAGATTGATTTAATTGTCACATACACGTCCTGATATTGCCTTCGTTGTGAGCATGGTGAGTCAATTTATGCACTCCCCGTACAAAGAACATCTTGAAGCTGTGTATCGAATACTTAAGTATCTAAAAGGCACACTAGGAAAAGGACTCTTCTTCAAGAAAAATGAGAAGAAAGGGGTTGAGGTGTATAAAGATGCGGATTGGGCAGGTTTGATTACTGATAGAAGGTCAACTTCGGGGTACTGCACATTTCTTTAAGGTAATTTAGTTACTTGGAGAAGCAAGAAGCAAAGTGTAGTTGCTAGAAGTAGTGTTGAGGCTGAATTCAGATCAATGGCTCAAGGAGTGTGTGAGGTTCTTTGGCTAAAGAGGGTTCTAGTGGATCTTAAGAGACCAATGAGTTTTCCTATGAAATTGTATTGTGATAACAAGGCAGCTATCAGCATTGCTCATAATCCGGTTCTACATGACAGGACTAAACATGTTGAGATTGACAGACACTTTATAAAGGAGAAGCTTGAAGAAGGAATAATTTGCACACCGTTTGTGCCAACCACGCAGCAAGTTGCAGATGTCTTGACTAAGGGCTTGTTGAGACAACCATTTGAGCTTCAAGTTAGSAAGTTGGGCATGATAGATATCTTTGCACCAACTTGAGGGGGAGTGTCGGTAAAGTAAGAAAGATAGGGTTTGATAGATCAAGAGATTTGAATAAATCTAGGAAGGATTAGATTTGAATAATTTTAGGAAAGTCATATCCTAGGATTAAGGGAAAGATTTAGAAAATCCCTGATTGCGAGAGATTCTAGGGGTCTGCCTTTCCTATCTTTTCTTATTTAAGTTGTATGCTCAACATGTTTTTATTATCAATAAAGAAAATTCTCTTTTCTCTCTCCCTCTATATTTCGCCACACATGGTTTTGCAGTCTGTTTATTTCCTTACCCCTTCTCCAATCTATCTTCCATCTATGCTTAGCTGCTAAATGCTTACAGTCTACTTGTTTCGTTGCTACTTCTGCAATCTATCTCCTATTCAAGAAAACAAGTGAAAGAGAGAAAATGGAAGCAGAAGAAAACCCTGAGTTATGGAGCTTGAAGCCGTACTAAATTGCAATTATACTTACTATATGTAGGGGGTATCATGACCCAGCCTGTTGGATTAGAGTGTCAAAACCCTAACCTGACCCCACACCTGAGTAAACCTACCACAAACCTGAGCCTATAGTGTCAGGTCAAGCCGGGTTTACTGTTCAACCCAACACATTGACACTCCCACTGATGAAGAGGAGGTTGTCTATGATTATTTCAAGAAACCCAAACATACATGGGATTCTTGCCAGAAGCATCACCCTAATATTAAACCAACCAGGTTAAAAAGGCAGCAGTGTTAGTAGGAAGAGGACTGCTAATGTGGCTATGACACATACCCAAGAGTGTTCACTGGGATCATCTTCTTCTACTTCCAATGAGAATGTTAAAGCAGAAATTGAGAAGCATGGTAAGGTGCAAAGTCAGTTGGAGTGCACTATGGAAAGTAGATCTGGAGGTGGAGTTGCAGCCGAGTGTTTGCTCATACAGGTACTCATGCCACTTCGAACCATTCATCATCCATATTTCAAGAAATCAATGTATTTTCTGGATTGTAGATTAAGGTAATAAAGGTAGTCATACCACTACCACCTTCACTATTTCTTTCTTATTCATTGCATTCTGGTAAGGATAAAGTTTCCATTGCTGAAGGTTCTTTCATTATGGTTGTGTTTCTCGAAATCCAAGAGGATGACTGGGAATGACCATGATATGAATGGGATCTATATTCTAGATGTTTTTTTCCGGAGGCCTGCACACCTGAGTTATCACCTTCCACCCACTACCTCAGAGTCCATTGATAGAGTCCTTTGGCATGTTCACTTGAATCAAGTATTATATTGGAGTCATTTATTTCCTTCTTCATCTTCTTCAGTTAATTGGCTAAAGATCATAGAAACTCTTTTACTTTTAAGTAATAAAAGATCTGTTTTACCTTTTTAGATTGTCCACTCTGATGTGTGGAAATCTTATCATGCGCCTAGTATGGGTGGATACAGATATTTCTTTTTTTTTTTTATGATTACTCTCATTGTACATGGATATATTTATGAAATCTAGAGATGAAGTTCCTTCTTTGATTCAAAGTTTCACCAGATGAATCTTGCTCAGTGTAGTACTCAGATTAAGAAATCCCATTAACAGAATAGTAAGGAATATCTTGAGAACATACTATCTTCTTATTTTTGAATGGAGTGATTCATCAGACCTCTTGTTCTTATACCCCTCAGCAAAATCAGGTAGCTGAAAGGAAAAACAAACACAACTTAGATGTTGCTAATAGCATTATGTTTAGTAGTAATATTCATGTTCCTTTTCTGGGAGATGTTCTTACTACGATTTATCTCATCAACTGTATGCCTACTCAAATCTTTCAGTTTAAGACACCATTTCATTTGTTATATCCTTATACAGAGTTATTTTCCATTCTTTTGCGATTTTTGGTTAGACATGCTATGTTCATGATCTTGGTCCTCACAAATCCAAATTTAATCCGAATATTAAATGCATCTTGCTTGATTATGTTGTTAACCAAATGAGATATTGCTGCATTGGTTTTATGTCAGTTGTTTCTATTGTTGTTACCTTTGTTGAGTCCATTCCCTGTTTTTATGAAGTTTCTACTGAAAGGGAGATGCATACATCTTTTATCCCTCCCTCTATGAGCCATCATAAAGAGTTGCAAGTTTATCAAAAAGGAAAAAAAAAAATTGCTCCCACATCAGATGTTGAGTCTCTCCCCAACCATTGCCTAATGTAATCCAAATTCAAGTACTCATCATCCTGAGTTTCCTAACCTTGACTTGCCTAGTGCCCTAAGAAAGGTAAATGTCATTCCTCTACTGTACAATCAGTTCCATTCTTACAGAAGTCCCCTTCCTATAGAACCTTCCTTGCATCTATTTCTTCTAAATCTGATCCTAAGAATGTATCAAAGCCTTATCTAAACCTGAGTGGAAGAATGCTATTAAAAAAGAGATGAAAGCCTTGATAAGAAACAGAAATGGGAGGTTGTAGACTTACCTGAAAAGAAGGTTCTAGTTGGTTTCCACTGGATGTTCACCATAATATATAAGGCTGATGCACCCATCAAGAAGGTTCTAGTTGGCCATGTTGAAACTCTATTTCATTTATCTTTTATTCCATCATTTTCATGGCCCTTGTATTATCTGCATATGAAGAATGCATTCCTTAATGGTTACATGCATTAGGTTTACATGGAGCTTCCCCCAGGGTTCTATGGCACTAAGAAAGTAGGGACATTACTATAACCATATTGCTCTTTTCTGGATGAATTAAAGTAATGAATAGGGGAATGAGTGCTTTACTGCAGTTTCTCATTTTTTCTTCCCTTTTCAAGTAAAACTTCTTCTCTTGCCCTTATACTTCACATACAACAGGATACGAAAACATAAATTTTATCTGTATATGCTAATGTAACTATGCACGTGCAAAGTAGCTGTTCTACACTATGCATATAACATTCGGCTCACTTCCATCCCCACAGTGTACAAGTATGTATATGGCAATATACCTAAATCCTAAGGATGTTTCTTTCTTTATTTCTTTCCTCCCTAAACAGGATTTTACCATCCAAACAAAATATAACAGAAAAAAACATGGGCATTAAAATCTACAAACCAGATAACTTGCAAAGGCATGACCAAGAACTGACATGACTTGGGTTAGCTTTTATCTCTAGAGAGTGTAGGCATGCCATCTCAAGCTTTACCTAGGGCTTGTGCTGGGCCTTAAGCTGGAGTGACAACTCTCACTAATTGCCATAGGTTGGCATGGCCCAAGCTGCACCTATTACACTTTTCTTTGTCATTTTATGTTTTATGATGTTTATTTTCTATGGATGAATTTTCTTTTGGGGTTGGGGGATCAATCTCCTTCTTGTCTAGTATCTATAAGTCTCATAAGCTAATACTAATAATAATGTTTTACCATAAAAAGAAGCTAATAATAATGATAAGACAATTTAAGACATAAGACCTACCCAGAATAAAAGAAAAGAAGCTCGTAGAAAGGCAAAAAGTAAAAGAGAGGGTAAGAAATTCCCATTGATGAGCAAGGAAATAGATTACTAGCATACAGAAAAAATGTTATTATTTCTAAAATAAAAGTTGGCATCAAATAGTCACATAAATCCATACTGCTTCCTTTTGTTGTCAGACAAGGGATTGTGAAGACAGCTCTGAACTTACCCTTCCATGTATTTAACTTTGCACCGGTTGACATAATCATCTGTGAACATTATGAAGATGTTATCAAGACGCTTGACAAGATTTGGTACCTCCTCCAAAGGTAAAATGTCCCAGATCTTCAATACTTGGATATATTGTGAATATTTCATAATATCAACTGAGCAAATGACATACAAATATCCAATCTTGAACTGTTTGACAAGCTGAGATGAGCTTTCGCAAATATAGTTTATCTTCTTTGGGCGCCAACCATTTGCAAGCCTCAAAAGTAGATTAATTACAGACTTTTGTGTTTCGGTTCTCTTAAGTTTTCCAAATGATCTCCGAAAGTTATCACTAAAGAGAACCTGGAGTTGTAGAGTGGGAAAAAAAAGTAAGATATGACCAGAACTAAAATATTTTATAGAATAAATGTGCCCAATTAGCAGCCAAAAGCAGGAATGCCAATGTAATACTGTAGCATAAGAAAGGCAAGCACCCTAACCAAATTACCTTCCACCTTGCACTTTTGAAAAGTATAGAATCCCCTCTAAGTAAATCGTCTATCTCATCAATCTCTTTCTTGACTTGTAATATTGCTTTTGCAAGATCCTTATCCTCATCAGCATTGAAAAAGCACTGACGATCCTTTGCATTACATACTAATTCTCCCCAGATAGATGCACTATTAATCAGAGTTTTTTCATTCCCCAAAATCCAAAGACAGTGCCTACAAAGGAAAAAGGAGTCAACGAGAAATAAATTGAATTTACAATATCTAGCATAAATTGACAAGAAGATAAATTCTTGCAATGCATCTAAAAGCATGTAAGACATACTTTGCCCTTGTCAAAGCAACATTAGTTCGCTGATGATTAGTCATGAATCCAATTGATCCATAAGTATTAGATCTGACCGTGGAAATTATTATGACATCTTCCTCACCACCTTGGAATCCATCAACAGAATTCACAGTCACTTTAAATCCTGTAAACTTTTCGTATCTGTTGCCAAGTTTTTCTTGAATTGCAGAAACTTGTGCAATGTACGGGGATATAATACCAATTCTAAGCTTCTGCCTTGAGCCATCCCATGCTGCAAAATATATGAAGCCTTTCTCTAAGAAGCAATCAAGATTAAAACATGAAACCATTGTACTAATAGTGAAAATAATAAAAAACCATAAATGGGATGCAAGCAGAGAGTAGACACTTATTACTGATATCTAATCCTTGCTTCCATCATTTTAGATATTTGTACAAAAAGCAGGATACCATATACCAAAACCAATAAAACATCACTTAGTACCACAAAATTTCTAGATATACCTTACAATGGATGCATTCTTTGAAGAAATAAAAAGAAAGCATTACCAAAAATGATATGCATCAACTATAACATGACTATTTGTCAAGAAATATGGTCCTAGATGAAAGCCCAGTAGTATGCTCAATTTCATCACTAATGTCTTATTGAAGTACATAAACATAAATGTACCATTAAAAATCCATAAAGAGATTCATAAAAATAAAAAATGAACAGTGATGAGTGCAAAATCTATAATGTTGCTATTTCTAAAGTTTACACTTTAAAAACCATTCGCTCCAATGTGTTTTCCATAACCAAATCAAACCCCATTAGAAGAGATTAATGAACGAATAAAACAAGTTATGTCATAAGATTAAATCAAAATACCTGTTATGTCATAAGAGTAATTCAACAATAGGATACATCTTTTACAGAGAGACCAATGATTCTTGAACAGTATATCACCAAACAGAAATTATGTCTTTTAATATCTGATGGAGCAAAGGAAGGAATCCATGATCAAAGCAATGAATAATATCAAAAGAACTAAAAATAAAAATAGAAAATTTTAACTTAAAATGGTTGAAGCTGATTGTACATTTAAAAAATAAAAATGGATCATAAATTCACTATAAAAATATAGCCATTCAACTCAAAATCTAAATACCTTTAAAAAGTTTCTGTAATATTTTTATAACCACAGCAAGCTCCACCATATTTTTCCGGCTACGCCCAACATCATCTAATACCTCCCTACCATCAGAAATATTTATGAAGGAATAAGGACCATACATACGCCCAGAAATATATCTCTTCTCATAATGTATATCCTTAACTTCTGGAGCATCTAAAATCTGGTTCATGTAGAACTTGGCATTTGGGAAAAGACTAATTTTAGGATTCATACGGTATTGTTTGTTGAGCAGATGCTTTGGATGTCCCAATAAACTCAACCTCTCAAACAGACTTCTTCCAAAACCAGCTTCAATTGCAACCTACCAAATAATGAAATAATGTATGAATTCAGCTCTATTTTAATTTTAATTTAGAGAGAACATAAAGCTGACATTAAAAAAACTTAACAGGATGGGAAATATCATAAGTAGGGCCAGTAAATAGTATGTCCTAATAACCCATGCATGTGAGCTACTGATCGTTATGTACTCATATCAATGAAGAACTATAATTGTAACTCTAAAAACTAAATAACTATACCTATACCTTGCTGGTAACCATAGCTGGTAGCTGACACTCGTCACCAACCAGTATAACATTCTTTAGACCACGAAGTTGTAAGGGTATTGCTGATTCACTCTCCCTTAACTGAGCAGCTTCATCAATAACCAGCATCTCCACTGGATCCATTACTACATAATTCAACTTAAAAGAACTAGAAACAGTGCAGAAAATGAGGGAAGCATTTCGGAAGCAAAATTCCCCTATGGAATGTTTATCTGTAAATTGTGGAAGATCAAGCTCCTCAAGAGAAGCACGGAGGGATCTAAGAATGGAGATGCATTCATTTCTTGTCCTATGCAGTACAACTGATGTAGAACAATTAACAGTTTTGCACACAAATATATCTATGGCAGGAAGAGATATATTCTCAACATCTGAATGAGAAAATAATTTCTCTAGTTCTTTGTCAACCACATCATCACGATGTAAGAGATTGTCAAAACAATCTAGAAGATCAAGAACGGAAATCATTCTCTGGAAATTATGTTCTGAAATTATATGTTTAGGCAGATGAATGCAGAAAGTTTCAAGACATTTTCGAAGCTCCAAAGCTATTGCCTTGAATCGATTTCTTGTCCATCCAAGAAATGAAAGGACTTCCTCTTTGCAAGTCTCATTCTCCCGTCTAGCCTCTTCATTTTTGCTTGCCTCATTTTCCAAGTAAATATTATACTCAGAAACACAGTGTAAAAGAAATTCTATCATAGAAGCAAAGCGATACTTCCATCCAGTTAGCCTCTGAAAGCAGTGTAAAAGCTTCTCAACACGGTAATCCAAAAAAATCTCCTCAACATCATCAAGCACTTTCAATCGGTCCTTGTTACCAAACAAAAGTACATCTCCATATGAACAACATGAGAGATCCTCACCAGACTCATTTTGGAAGGACTCTTTAACAAGCCTAAGAACACGTGATGCCACTTCTTTGATTGCAATATTGGTTGGGGCACAAATAAGGGTTCTGCAATTCAATCTTAAGAAGGTCTGTATCAATAAACTGACAGTTTTTGTTTTTCCTGTCCCAGGAGGACCCCAGATAAGCTTAACAGAAGATCTATGCTTGCAGTGTATTGTAGAAATAGAACTCAGTACAGCATCAATTTGGGATTCATTCAACTTAGATGATAAAGCCACACCAAATTTATTGGTCAAAATGCTATCCTGACTGTGTGATTGACACATATCACAGCTTTCTTCCACCTACAAAACATGATGGCACAAGCATCAAAGAATTATATTACCAACACTTTTACAGTTTGAGTATATAGAACAGCATAAACTCCAAAACTCTTCCTCTATTTAATCTAAACTTTAACGATATAAAAGAAAGGTATAATTAAAAATGAAGTATTTGACAAAATAATAACAACATGAAGGATAAAATCATAATTGGATCAAAGTTTACATTAACTAGATAATTGATACTTTAGTAAGACACCACGTAAGGTACATCCACAGTGAAGGGAAGCTCCAATACTGTGTTATTTGAGGAGACAAGTCACAGATATGGCGATAGGCAATCCACATCCAAGATTACAAATACCACCTAAAAGATTATCCAGTATAAACTTGGCAAAATTTGTACACAATTATGGTTATTTAACTGAAATGAAAGATCAATGCTAGCATCCAGATGGTAAAATTTCTTTCAGACCATTCATGGTCATTTCGGTTCCTGACCATAACCTGTAGAATGTGCCTTGGGAGCTCCAACCAAAACAACTTTACAGAAAACCTCCCAAGTTAGTACTTAGTATGACATATTAATGGATGTTGATAGCATATTATACCCAGATACCTCCTGTGCGTAGGAACCATGCATGTCATGTTTGAGACTTCAATTTCTAGTGCATATTCTATGTGCAATACCTAGTATGTGTCCATGCTATATCTGGGTACCACTATTGGAAGCTTCCCATTCACATGCACCATGTGCACTCACTCTCCAAGGACTGAAACAGCCCTTGCCAGTTCGTGAATGTACCTTAGCATTCTCTCTACATTGACTAAAAAAGCAGTAAATGAACATTTAGTACCAGGGAACTACTGCATAATATCTCCTTGATAACTTTCAAATTTCCCAAAGCATGTAATGCCATCCATATTCTCTTGTTTGTTGTTATATTTCTCAGGTAAACAGCAAAAAGTGAGTTTTGCATTCCCTCTTTGACTTCAATAGCTTTTGAAGCTTTGACTTTAAGATACAAAGACATGTCTCCACTTTCTTCAACTTCAAAATCGACCCCTGGATCTTCACCCTCAACTTTAACAATTGAAGCAAAAGTACAAAACCTTCCGTATCGTTGTAGATCATAAACAGTTTCAGGTATTACATCAGTCAAAAGAAAAATATCACCAGGCAATGATTTGTAGGGTTCCCTACTACCAGATCCAAATTTGTTTTTCCAGGAATCAACCTTAATATCATATATTAATGAACCATATGGTTTGCACTCCTGGAGGGAGATTACTTCAGCAATGGGGGCCTTTGACATAACCTCCAAACTTTCACACAATACTGCACGTGTTTCCTCTATTAAAGGTAACCTATATGACCCAAGATATTGCTCCACCGACAGAAATGTTTCTGGAATCTTTTCCACCTACAAAAGACATAAATAAATGCTATATTTTCAATGTAAACAAGGAGATAATATGTCTCATTTAAGTAGTATAAAACTATCACACAAAAAACAATTAACCAGTCAATAACAAGGACTTGAGAGTTTCATACTTGTATGAAAAGCAGGGAACTGTATGACAAAGTTTAAGATACGTCAAAAAAAAACTTTCTCCAGAAATAATAGCTTTTAGGATTAGGACACTAAAATTATCAAGCATACTAAATTTCAAATCCTAAAATGAATTATTTACTTTCCATTTAAAGAAAGGTAAAAAAGGATACAAAAGCAAATAAACATATGAGAATAAATGTTTTTCATTACCATCAAACAGTATAGAAAAAAGAAATCAGAATACTCAACAAAACTCCAAACCCAACTAGGGGTGACCATTCTTGGTCTGGCCCAGCCCGGCCTGCAAATTTTCAGGCCCGGGCCCAGGTTTTTGTGTGCAGGCCCAGACCAACTCAGGCCCAAATCAAGTCCACAAAATTCTTGGCCAGGCTTAGGCCCAACACTTAAGGTCTGGCCTGGCCCTCAATATACGGGCTTTTATTCGTCCGCCAGAACGAACCGACCAAAGCAGTGAGGTGTAATTGTATTTGTCTTAGGATTGCTGGACTTGTACTTTGCTTTTCTCGAGGGGTAAGGCTTTTACGTTCCCCCTCGGGGGGAGGACAGCTCAGTTATAGCAAGAGAGAGGGAATCTTCCAAGATGACCACGTTCACTGGATTTTATTCCAAAGATGTATATATATATATATATATATATTATGTTAGCTTATATGGTATAATAAAATATACACCATGTGTCATTTTATAATATTCATATATGATATGTTATAAAATAAAACATACATATGTATGTACATAAAATATGTATACATTATAGCAATATTTTGCAAACCAAACCAGACCCAACCCCGAAATTTCTGAACTTGATGTGTTCCCCAGCCTAGGCCAAGCTGGAAATGATCATCCTTAGTTAGCAGTTCGATCATCTAAGTCAAACAAGTCAACCTATGTTTTTCTAAATTAATTAATAAAAATACAAAAAACATTGAAAAAATGATAATTTAGAAAATCTAGAAATTTCTCTAATAGATATATATATATATATATATATAGATAGATAGAGAGAGAGAGAATAAGGTATATTCATTAATTGCACATGACTTTATACAAGTGTATTCCTTTACAGTATGATAAATGAGACTTAATGTCTAATATGGGACCTATTCGCCGAGTCAAATGGGTTTTGAAGCTGGGCCTTTAAGTTGAAAGTCAACAAATTTGCCACTACACTATGCTTTGATTACTTGTCTTTGTTACACCGGTTCTAATATGGACAATAAAACTCTTATTATAATTATGGTCATCAACATCTATGATTTTAAAACTCTTATTATTTTATTAGTTTATAATAAATAAAACAATTTAAACTCAAAGCCCTCTCATAATATCTCTTTTAACCCAAAAATATACCTTTGAATGTACATGTTAGAATAGTATCTCCACTCTATTTTCCAATGTACCACATGTGAGAATGCATCTACATTTAGATGTCCACCCATGACACATGATTAGTTCTAATAAATAAAGTGTACAGATGAGAGAGGTTGCATCTCATGCCTCTCTAAGGGATACACGTAATGTCATTTTTAAGTGTTTAACAAAACTCACTTTTACTTATCAATAAATAAATTGGCCACGATGAAATATTCACTAGGGTTTCTTTTCAATGTTCTAATCTTATTGTATTCAACCAAAATACCTCTATACAAACATTGTACAGACAAATTTCGCATGGCACTTGGGCCAGGGGCTATTTGCTGTTGTTGATTCTTTTGTTTAAGTATAAAAGGATATAAATGTAAAACTAAATACAAGATAAAATTAACATATACATATATATCATACTAAAATGAATATACATGTAATTAAAAGCAAAATATAAAGATATAAATTATACCCAAAAATGTATAGAGAAATTATAAAAAACTTCAGATTGTTGTATATGCGTGAATGAAGTAGGAAATATGCAAATTAAGTAAATATATTATTTTATTTGGGAAGGTTATAACCATTAAATAACAAAAAATAGTGTATATATGCATATATTGTTTACTTTGGATAGAGAAAGTTATAAACATAAAACATTCTTTGGTGGAAAACATAAAACAAAATCCAAAATAAACATTTAAAAACATAAGATTTCATATTAAAAGAATATATACATTTTTCTAGGATACATAAGTAATAAAAAGAATAGGTAAGTAAATTGGATATAAAAAGATACATAAAAATATGAGCATGTGTTTGTGTAATAAATTTATACATACATAAAAATTAAAAAGAATAGGCAAGTAAAATAGTAGTAGTAGTAGTAGTAGTATTTTAATAATATGTATTTTTAATAATTACAATAACCATTTCAATCATTATTTATTACTTAAATAATTATTAAAATATATTAATATTTAACCACAAATAATAATTACATAAATATTTAAATAATATAATTAACAACTCTTAATTATTTTAACAATGAAGATGATTATATTAATTTTAATTTTTAATTAATTAAACATTCACACAAATATTAAAAATAAATAATTAATTATTGAAATAATTTATTTTTATTTATTTAATAATTAACTATTAAAATAATTAATTTAGTAAATACTGTAAATTAAAATAAATATTTTATTATATATGAATCATTATTTTATTATATTCTCAATTATTGAATAATTATTATTTACTTATTTAATTTTTATTAAATAACTAATAAAATATTATGTACTAAATATCTCTTAATAAACAATTATTAATTATTTTATATTCATTTAATTAATTGTTAAATAGTTAAACAAAATTTTCATATCCAAGGTTAAAATGGTCATTTGATACTTTTCAGAATTCAGCATTCAGATTTAAGAACAATATTCTCTGCATTCAGACTTCAGAACCAAGAAAAGTTCACCAACTAATTAATTATTACAGTTCCAGAGGCATTCAGACTTCAGAATTCAGTGCAAACGAACAGACCCTAATTGAAAATTCGTAGTAAAATTTATTTATTTGAAAAGGATTAATAAATTAGTTTATTTTGAGAAATAAGTTAAAATACATTGACCAAGTAAACAAGGTATTTCCTTTAATTATATTGATTACATCAAGGAAATAGGGAAGATTTTAAAAATAAAGTAAAATACAGAAGAAAAGTTAAAAATCATTTGTAATAAAAGGCATATAATTAATAAAATAAATTTATAATATAACTATCAAATGAATAAATAATATTTCAAATTGTCATGAGGGGAGGGGGTATATATACACAATTTCTACATATAATTTTAGACTTTTTTGCAGTGCTGCATGGACTCTCCTAAGTGGACAAAGCGTCATGCCAAGCAAGTGCCTAAGCCCAACACTCCACAAATTCTTGAAGACACTTCTACATAACATCTCCGTTTGATTTCCTACATAAATGAACAGCTAATACAATCCATTTTTTGTACCAAATGTCATTTGTTGACAAAGGCAACATTTTTTGTAGGTGTATAATTTTAGAACTCAAAAGATATGAATTACTTTAATAGTATATACTTTTCTGTTGACACGCAAAACGCATTGAGGCCTTGCCTAGCCTCTTCAAGAACAACGGCATTGCCTCCACCATTCACCTTTTAAAACCTTAGCTTAAAGGGGAGTGATGAATCCATAATGTACACACCTAGGGGTTTTTAGGTCTTTTAATGTATGTTATGTTCAAAAAAAAATGTAAGGAATGGGCTAATAGTGTTACTTTTGGCTTAGGTAGACAAAAGTTACGGATGTGAAAGAAAATTGGAAATAAAAATTTTAAAAACATATAAATCATATCATATTATATATATATAGTAAATAGAGTATGAAATAAGTGAATTGTATCCCAAAATGAACAAAGAAATTACAAATAAATTTAGTTAGATCTTATATGTATATGTGTATGCATTTATGTATGTATAAACTAATGCAAAATAAAATTTGGAAAACATTGGTTCTGTTTTAAAATACATGTAAAAAAAAAGTAACTAAGCTAAGAAAGAAATAAATATTATGTTAGCATGCATATATTTATGTAAATAAATATAGTTTAATATTATAAACATGTAAAAAAAGTAAATATGCATACATATATGTATGTAAATAAAGTAGAATATATGTAAAGTAAAGAGATTATTTGTTTAGATAGAGATAATAATAAACACAAACTAAAATTAAAAAAAAAAAAGTATTTATATTAAAAAGAAAGTATATACATATTAAAAGGGAAAAAAATTGGCCTCACAAACTATATTAGGTTATTAGGGTTTTTTTTGGCAAAAAATAAGTTTATGGAAAATTGTCTAAAACTCACCATGAGTTTTCAACATTTCCCTTAAACTAACCACAACTTTTTAAAATGTCTAAAACTCACCATGTCAGTAAGTTTTTATTTTCCAAAACTCACCTTCCGTTAGTGCACCGTTAATGCTTCTTAACGGAGGTGTTCACGTCAGCATAAATAATAATTTTCATGACCAAATTACCCTTGAACGGCGAGTTAGAGGAAAAATGGTCTTTTTCAGTTTTCAATTTTCTTGTTTTTTTTCGCATTTTTAGTGTTTTGTAATAATTTCCAATGTTTTTTATAATTTCTGTTTTTTACATTTTCTATTTTCTACAATCTATAAATTTTCTTGTATTTTTTGTTATTTATTTGTAATTTCTGTGTTTTTCTATAATTTTTGGTGTTTTTCTATAATTTTTATTTTCTGATTTTGTTTTTCAATTTCTATAGTTTCTATAATTTGAAAATAATTTTTTATTTTGTTTGCAATTTCTATATTTTTTTTATATTTTTGTAATTTCTATGTTTTTATGTTTTTGAACTTTCTCCTTTTTTTCATGTCTAAATATTAAAATGGTAATATATTAAGACCCGTTAATTTATTTTGTATATATTTTATATTTTTCTATGAAGATTAAAATGGTAATATATTAACACCCATTAATCTGTTTAACGTCAAATTAGTAATATTATGAATTTTAAACATTTTGAAAAATTGTGTGATAAATTTAAGAGAAATACTGAAAACTCATGGTGGACAATTTCCCTAAGTTTATTATTGTTTCAGTTTACAAGAGACGCACAGGCGCGGTCAGGTGCCGTTGCCCATTGGTGATTGGACACCACAAAAACGACAACGAAAGTGGGAATGCCGAATGCCCCCACCAATACAAGAAAACGTTTTTTCTTTTGTAATAGTTTCCGAACACCCCATTCATGTAACGAAATCACATTGCTTTTGTGTCGCTTACGTGGAATCGAAACGGAAATGCAACAAAAGTCGATGTTTGGGCTTATGAGGTGATTGAGCTGCGTCGACCGAGCCGCTTCCGAGAAGCTGCCTGCTTCACCGGAAAGTCGATTCTGGGGCTCATGTAAGCCTACTTTCGGCTTTCCGGATTCCATGACGCATGCAACGCCAGAAGCCGCTATCTGGAAGCCCTCCCAAACGAGGGCTAGGACACTAACAGCACGTAAAGCGAGAACAACGTATCTTCTCGAAAACTCCGGCACCACAATTCAAGCCATAAGGATACCGCCATGGCGCCATCACTCCACACTAAGACCACCCAGCGTATCAGAGGTGCACGAAGTTTACATGCAGACATGATTCCGTGTTGCCAGCCACTCGCAGCCCTCTTTCATAGCGGAGTCGTTCGGAGAAGAATTCTGAACGACCTTGTAATCTTCTTGGGATCCCACTCGGGCAGAATTTCTAAGGGGGTTCGGTGTTCCAAAGTAGAAGAATGGTCACATGGAAAACTCAAAAGCCAAGGGACCTCCTGGTCCTACCCTATGTACATCTAGCCACATCATCAATCCGCGTGGCAAGATAGGTGGGTCAACCAGAGAAGAAACCTAAGCACCCCATAACGAGCTTGCTTAACACCACTAGAAGTTTATTTGAATTTTAACCGCAACAATCAATGAGAAATCAATCCTTCATCAGATATCAAAGTGGAAAATCTACGTAAATCAGACTAAAAACAGAAAAGAAAAAAAAATTCTGAGAGAGAGAGAGAGGAGAAAAATAGCAAACCTGGTCTTTGTACAGATCCTGGTTGAGTATATCATCAAGAGACCAAGAAAATACCAGATCGATTAAGCTGTTATCTATAGTTTTTCCCTTCTTCCCTGCGACACTCTCCTCCATATCTCCTTCCAATCAGTCTCTGCAGCAAATATCAAAAGCCCGTTAAACAAATAAAGTTTAAACTTTAAACTACAAGATAGACAGAGTCGGAGCCTTGGAGGAGGTGGTTACTTCACGCCTAAGCAAGAAGAGGAAACCGATGAAAGAAACCCAATCAGTACAGCAGAGCTGACGCTACCATCGCCTCTCTTTCTTTATTTCGCCATAAAGGAAAAGCTACTCCAAAAGCTACGACAGAAGGTGTAGAGTCTGTTGACTTTTGACTCCGGCGTTTCAGTGTTTTTGGCCCTACGACTTGACAAGTACCTGAGATGAGCTTATGCACACTCGCGGGTAGTGAAGCAATTAAGCAAAGCATCCAACGCCAACGGCTCTTGATATTCCCACCGATTTAAAAGAATGATGATGACGTGAGGGATATGATAGCGTTCTACGAGTTTTTTTTGCACGGACCCGACCCGATGATCAAATGTAGGAACCGGGTATATAGGGTCCGTAATGAGGACTGTCGGACCCATTCCAAGAAGAACCGATCATGGAAATAGGTATAAAATGCTCACCCAATTAGAATCTTAACACCAGACGTGGACCCGAACCATATATTACGATTAATTCGGTTCGGTTTGTTTTAATCAGGTTCAGCTTTGGCAGGGTGCCATGCTGGACCCACGGACCCAATTTCGGATCCAGAGCTTTTTGCTCGTGGAATCCACTCATATTAAGACAAATCAAAAGTGATGTCAGTTGGGCAGCCATTTTACCAGTACGGATCGTTTTCATTTAAAATATTCATAAAAATAAAAATTAAAGGGTTAATTATTTAAATGAGCCATGTGGTTTCACGAAGGCCCGTTTGGTTCATGGGAATAACGTTGTAGATTCATAATCTAAGTCATTCCGTTCCTATCTGGCTAACTGTTTGGTTGGACATAATTGGAATTTCACTCGCAAGGTTCAAAGCATTTAAGTGTATAGAAAGATAATTTTAAGAGATATATCGGGATATGTCTTGGATATGTATGTGTATAAAAAAAAAAAACTAAAATACACATAAATACAAGTTTGAAAACACTATAAATACTTTAATAAATCACAAAAATATATCAACAACATTAAATATAAGACCTCAATAAGGTGTATATACATTATATTAATATATTTTAATGGCTTATGAAAAATATATTATAATTAATTATAATTTCATTAAATATCATATGCTTAACTATAATTTATAAATTATAATTCTTAAGTTATAATATTTTATGGGATGGGAAAAACCCAACTCTCCTATCCAACCATAAAACATGCATTGGCACAACTTCTAAGTGAAAATATAATTAATAATTATTTATTATTTAAATATTATTATTTTTTATTTATTTTCAAAAATTATAAAAATAAATAAACGTTATATAATATATTCAAAAAATAGTTATTAAATAAGAAATTTCAATTGCTTTGTGGATATGATAGATCATCCATAGAATTATAATATATTCAATCATTGTGATCAAATGATATTTATTATTCTAAAAATATAAAAATAAAAAACAATTATTAAAGAAGAAATTTCAATTGGTCTATGGATATGATAGATCATCCATAGAATTATAATATATTCAATTATTGTGATCAAATGATAAAAGATAATTAAGTATTATTTATTTTTTAATTCTAGAAATATAAAAAATCAAAAAATTATTAAAGAAGAAATTCCAAATGCTCTATGGATATGATAGATAAATCCATAGATCTAAAACATATTTAGTCTTTATAGGCAGAGAAAATATTACATCTTCAAATTTTTTATTAATTTATATTTTCCCCAAATATCTTCATGAAATTTCCATAAATCTACTAATAACACAAAAAAATTGTGATTTTGAATATAAAAAATGTAGATCAACATAAATTTAAACATTCAAGAAAAAAAAGAAATCATAATATATTATAAAAAATTGAAAAAAAAAACTGTTTTTGCCATATTTTTTCAAAATTTGAAAAATCTTCAAAAAAAGTTAATGATTCACACTTGTTTCCTGCAAATGTTTGCAAATCTAACACTCTAGGAATGAGGTTTGGAGTTTGAGTCATTTGGGGGTGAAAGAAGGTTTATTTCAGGGAAAATAAGCTCGCTTTCCCCCTTTATTTTATTTTCAAATTTTGGTCATATCTTTTTCGTCGATACACTATTGATACACCTCGATACACCCCCGGTATACCCTCAATACGCCCCAATACACCCCCAATATGGGTTTGATACACATAAAAAAAGACGAAACGCTCGATTTTCATGTGTATCATGTATCTATTTTTCAAAAATACGATAGGTGTATCATATCAAAATTTTAAACCTTGCCCATCCCCCTTCCCTTGGGAATAAAGTCCCATTCTAGCTTACTCTAATTCCAACTCCAATCATTATTAGAATCAAACGGATTATGGGAATAAACAATTCCAATTCCGATTCTAAGAGACTTTGATATTGATTCCAATTTCAATTTTAATTGCAAACCACATGGACCCTAAATTCTTTAACTATATCATGTGGTTTACACTTTCCATTGGTTAAATAGTTTGGATCATTTACACTTTTATTAAATTCTAATTCATGTTACATATAAGCACCAAGCAATCAAAAATAACATAAATAAACATCAAAATTCTCAATAATTGAAGATAAAGCATTCCATTACACAAGAGGTAGACGGCAACATGTTTTGGAATATCAAATATATGGACCAAATTATTTTTGTAAATTCAATGTATGAATTGGGGAGAATCGGGTTTAGCCAAAACCTATGCCAGTAAAAGTTGTAAAATACAAAAACCCATCACCACTAAAAAAAATGATGAATTTGATTCCACATCTCAGTCGCCATTTGAAATCCTGCCTTGTGGACCTAATCAGCTTTTGAAAAGAACTTGATTCCAAACTCCTCTTAGAAGATTGAAAAATGGGCTGTGATAAAGTTATTTATGTAACTTTTTTTTTTTTTTGGTAAAAGCTTTATATAACCTTTTAAACACCATAATGGTGTCATCCTCCCTACACCAGCATCAACATGATCCCAACCTAGTTAATAATTGGGACATAAAAGCATTATAATCTGAAGTCAACCTGGTTAATAATTGAGGTTGTATGCTTTTTGGGCTTTGAAAGCACAAATTTTGAAGCCTATCCAAATACACCCCAAGTCTTCATATGCTATAAGGGTATTAAAAGCTTGGTTTTACTTACACTTAATTTATCAAAAAACAAGCAAAACATCGATAGTTTGTTTGACATTGGCACAAAAAGTATAGGAGTGCAAATTATGATTTATTTTGTTTCAGCTTTTACCTCTTCAATTGTTGCATCGTATATGAAATAAAATAAAAATCTTGAAAATAGAAAAGGCAACATCCAAAAGCAAAACCAAAAATTGTATTCATTTTCATTTGTCACATTCATACATACGTATAAATACAAATGAAATTGCACTACAAGGTACATTGGCAATAAAATGTAATGTATTTTTCCGACACCTTTTTATGTTGTAAAAAAGGATAATTACATATTACACCCTGCACTTTGGGGGTAGTAACACTTAGGCCCCAAACTTTCAATTACAATAAAACCCCTTATACTTTTGGATTCCAACATTTTGCCCCCTCTTCGTTAACTATAACGATAGAAAAATTAATTTACTAAAATAACCTTTTGAGACTCGTATGGGTGAAAGGACAGTATTCCAAAGTGACAAAAATGCACGGAAAATGCATGTTGTCTCTTTTTTCCCACTTTGGACAAGAAAGAAGAAAAAAGAAAAGAAAACATAAAGAAAGATGTTTATACAAATATTTAATAGAAAGGAAATCAAAAGAAAAAGTAGAGGGAGATTGATTATCAAGATGGAATCATGAAAAGCATTGTGAAATTAATTAACAAGCAATGAAGCGACAAACAATGACATCCAAATCTTATCCTTCCACAAAAAAGGGAGCAAAATGTACCTTTAGTCTAAATTTAAGTTCCAATTTCACTTTAGTCTAAATTTAAGTTCCAATTTCACTTTTTGAAGGGCATGAGAATGTCATTTATACTATATAAAGAAAATACTTGCCTCGGTTTGAGTAAAGGTCATAAAAATTAAATCTAATCACCAAATATCGTATATGATTAATACTTACTTGCATGTGTTTTAAACTATAGATGACCATCCTAAACTTTGGGGGTAGTGATACTTACCCCCCCTAAACTTTCATTTGCAACAAAGACCCCCTTGAACTTTCAGATCCCAACACTTTGCCGCCTCCATTAGTATTCTATCACCTAACTTCATGCAAGATTCTCATATAGTTGTCATTTACTTGCCAAACATCTCTAAATCCCTAAAATATCCTTTACTTAATTTGTGGGACCATTTTCCCTCTCTTACATATCTGTATAAACTGTTTTATTATTTATGTTCTTTCTCGCCCACTTTGGGTGAGAAAGAGATAATGTACTTTGTCCCATCCATTCTTGGCAATTTTAAACAACTTCTTACTCATGCAAATCTTCAAAGGGCATTATGAAAGTTTGAGCAGGGTAAGTATCACTACCCCCAGTGTACAAGGTGGTAATCTGTAATTCCACTTTGAAACAAAATTATAATTCTGGACTATGAAGCTCCAAAAATCCTGATCCAACCATATATTATAGGTTAAAATGATCCATTTATATAATCGAAACATATTTTTTCTAAAGTTGAATGGCAAATTCTATGCAACAATCAATCAAAATTACATATCATTCAACACCATAGAACTTATGAAGTCTTGAGGTGAGGACTAGGTTATTGAGCAATGATGCCTAATGGCATAGTGGGCTAGCACTCATGGGCTATCCTATTACAAGAGCGAGATGTATAATGAATCATAGGGGTGATAAACTCTGAAAGGAGAGTTGAGAATTCGCCAAAGAGAGGGTTTTAACTACAAAGTATGTGTTTGGAACCATGAGTGTTTTTTCATTCAACGTTTGTACTTTATTTATTTGCAAAAGCGAGAAAGATAATAATTACAACCATTTATGACAAATAGGCGCCACATCAGCATAACTGTGAAAAAAACACCTAACCATTGGGGAAATCTTTAAAAAATAACTTCTCCAAATGGTAGGCGTGCATAGAAACTGAAATCACCTTTTGCTATTTTTGATGCGTAC